GAGCCCCCAGGCCTCAAGCCCCTGCTACCCTGGGCCACTGGGCCCAATAGAGTCCTGGGAGTACACAGAGAAGATAGCGTCCTTTTATTTGGCTGCTTCTGATTGCCTTTCCCAGATAACAGACTTGGGGCATCAGCACAGGTAGGGGCAGGGGACCCCACACTGTGCCATCAGACCACATCAGGTTGCCACCCGCACTCCCACATCCAAGTCCCCCTGTCCAAAATCTCCCATTCTCCTAAAAAGCAGCAAGAGAAAATAGGACTCAGAGGCACAGGAATGCAAGTCATTTTTCAAGAAGAGTTCATCAGGTCCAAATGTAAGAGCGAGCCCGGCAGGATTCTGCTCCTTTCTCCAAGCTGCCACCCCGGTTGGGATTGTGGAGAGTGGAATGTGCAGCCCCAGGGTCCAGAGTTTCTTCCCACTTGCAGTGCCACCTCCTTTCCCCCTCAGGCCTCAGCCCACTCATTCTTGCTTGGTCTGGGACGTTTTCTGCAGTAGTCATCCTGCCATTGGCTCCCCCATGCCGGCCTCCCTCCACCTGCGTGGCCAGGTCAAGGGTGCTGGTAACCCAGCATGGGGCCCGCCCGCGGCTGGTCTAGCGGCCAAGCAAAAGGAACCCCTGGACATCGGCGCCAGCTCCCCGCGGAGGCCTGAGACAAGCCCTGCCCCTCGGCCACCACCCTTGGCCATCCAAGGTGGGTGTGCGGAGAGCACGAGGCGCAGCGCGGCGCGAAGAATCCGGCGGGCGGTGGTGCGGACCGCAGTGAGCTGGAGCCCGCGTCTCCGGCGTCCCCGGCGACCCCTGCGCGCGCGGCCTGGTCATGACACTCCAGGTGCCCGCAAGCCCAGCGGGACGAAGGGCTGGCGCGCAGGACCAGGGAGAGCGCCGCGATGCGGTGAATGGCCCTGCGGAGCGTGGCGATCTTGGAGAGCCTCTTGCCGCCCAGGTCGTGCCGCAGCGCCCTGCGCAGTGCGTTGAAAGCTTCATTGTAGTCCAGGATGCGCTTGCGCTCCCGCACGTTGGCCGCCACGCGCCGAGCTTTGGACCGCACTGGCCGCGCTCTCTTTCTGCTGCTTGGCACCTCCTCTGCCTCGCCAAGGCCGCGGGGGGCGCCGTTCTCCCTCAGCACCCCAAAATCTCTCCCGGCCTCCTGGCAAGAGCCCCCCACGTCCTTAGCAGAGCCCTCTGCCCTCTTCAGGCCCCTGAGGCCTGGCCCTGGCACACCTCGGTGCATGGCCTTCTCCAGGGCCCTGCCGCCCCAGCTTCGTCCCACAAGGCTGGCAATCCACCTCCTGAGTATTGGCTCCTGCAGGCCGGACACTCCCAGGATGCGTCCTCTCTAGCTGGGCTTTATGGCACCACGTGGCTCTCCGCCCTCCCCATCATCCATCTCCTTCCTGCTTTATTACCTGCCTCTAGGTAGGTTGGCGAGGGAGGGACCAAGAGGAAGGAAGGGAGGAAACATGCAGATTCTTGTATGAGGGGACCAGACCCAGCAGCCAGGCTGCGCCTGGGACAGTGCTCCAGCTGCCAGGAGAACTTGCCCTGCCTCACTCTAGGGCTTCTCCGGAGGTGGCTGGGCTCCACATTCTTCCTCTTCATCCCAAATAGAATGCCAAATTTGGCCTCTGTGCAGAAGAGCTGATAGGCGCACAGAAAGGTCACAGTGGTAGTTGAATGTGTTTCAAGAACCTTGAAAGTTCTTGTCAAGTCCTGTGGGCAAACAGTGAGGAAACATGACTGTTCCAGCAGGACCAGTGAGGGAGGGGTAGATCTGATACAGCAGGTCCTGCAGGTAAATGGGCCTGGAGTTTCCTGCTTTTCAGCTACCAGAGTGAGGCTGTGGAACTCTGGGTCTGGGTTTTGATTAGGCCATGCTCTCCCCTACCTCCCCCTGGCTTCTCTTTCCATAGGCAGAGCTGAGCTGAGTCAGCAGCGGAGGGTAATGGACAAGATTGTCTTGTGGCTCTCTGGATCCCCTTGTATCCATCAAAAGCACTTGCGTGTAGGACAGAGTGGTGACCAGGGCCCTTGGGCAGCCCCATCTGATGACACAGGACTGCCATGTTACGAAATCAGTGAACCCACCTATCACCCCTACTCCCAGGAATTTGAATTTTAAACAGGGTGTCAGTAAAAGAATAATGCATAATCCTAGAGAAAGACCCCTAATGGAATTTCAGGCATCCCCGGGTGAGTTATTTTGAGCACCAAGGTCAATTTCATTTCCAACCATGATCCGAATGCCTCCAAAATGCCAAGCAAGGCCTGCTGTGGTGTCAGCTGGGATGGGTATGGGGTTCCCATTCAGTCTTCCAAAGAGTATACCATTAATCCCATTATTTTCAACCAAATTACTCCATGGAGGAAAAGAACCAAGCACTAGGAAACAAATACAGGTGTTTGTGTGATTATTTGTTTTATTATCTATCTTGCCCACTAGACTGTAAGCAGCCGAGGATGTTTGCGTTTCTCGGGCTATATTCTCCAAATCTGAAATATCTGTGAAATTAAAAAGTGAATGAGAAAGCAGCTAGAATTGGATGTTTTCTTCTCTATACTCAATATGCTTCCCACCATTCCCATAAAACACACACACACATACGTAAAGGCACATGCAATCACACAGAAATGCATGCCTCAAGCAGTATTCTACATAAAATGTAGTCCCCAGATGCCTGAGTATTCCTATCCACCCATCCATATAACAGTATGTCAGTCTCAATGGGTCTCAGAGTGGGAGGAAGGGAATCAGGTCAAAGTCCAGACAGATTTGTTCCTGAGTGTCACGTTCCATGGCCTCCTCTGCTCCCACCCTCATCCCACGCCCCTTAGCCCTTCAGTGTCATTCTCCAGAGAGTCGACTCACTGCCTTGCTCATCGGCCTTGCCCAGCCCCTCAGAAGAGCCTGGCCCCTGGGCTCAAAGATGGGCAGGCCAGGAGGCAGCAGGTGGACCTTTCAGTCTCAGAGGGGCCAGGTGGGAGAGGTGGTTTGGTGGGTGAGAGATCTTCTCTCGTACCCCCTACTCAGTGTCCTCTTCCAGAACGTCCCCCATCTAGGGCATAGTTGGGCACATGAGTGCTTCCAGAGAATTCTACTGGACAGGTAGTCAGGAGACTTATTTTGCCACCAGTTTGCAAAGTGAACTTATGTCAGTCATGTTCCCCTTTCTGCACCTCAGTGTGCTTTTCTTTGTAAAGAAGACACCCTCTCTACAAATGAGGGTAGGCAAGACCAGCAACGCAATTTGCAGGGCACAGTGCAAAATGAAAATGTGGGGCTCTTGTTCAAAATTATTAAGAATTTGAAGATGATGATAGCAGAGCACTAAACTAAGCTTGGGGCCCTTCTAAGCCCAGGTCCCACATCCATGAAGCAGACCCTGAGTGCAGGATAGAGTAGTGTGGTGGTAATGAGTGCAAGCTTTGGATCTAAACACACCTGATAGCTGACATTTTCAAAAACATCTTGAGAAAAGCTCTGAACTTCAGTTCTCTACCTACAAAATGAGAGTGATACTAGCCTCAGAGGGCTCAATGAAATGGAACCTGGTAAAGAGTGGGCCTCAAGAAATGCTGCATCTGGTTACCTGGAGGATAACCTCAGCCTGAGCGTGACCATTAACAGGCATCCCTTTGCCCCGTGATGTTCCTGGGTAACCCATGATCAGGAGGAAATTGATGGGTAAACTCAGAGCACCCGCATCCCCACGGAAGGATGGAGACGACCTATCCAAGGAAGACTTCCCTTCCCATTTATCCCCAGGGCAGCCTCCCAAAGGGGAGAATCTGCCTGTAGCAGCTCAGAACTAAAGGAAGGGTGCCAGTCAGGTGATAAACAAGCTTAAACTGCTTCCAGCACTCTTCCTTCTTCAGTGAGAACTTGCAATCCACCATGGACAGGATGCTGCTTAGTAATAATTAGCAATAACAATAATCATCTTAATAATGTTGGTATTGACTTCTATTGAGTGCTTATTATAGCCCAGGCATGGTACTAAGTGCTTTTTTAAAATACATTGTCTTAGCCTCACAACCATCCTATGCAGAAAGCCCTATTATTATAACACCCATTTTACAGACTAGAAACTGAGACTTCAAAAGAGTTAAGAAACTTGCCCCAAGTTAGAGGGCTGAGCTGTGGCTGAGCCAGAATTTCAAATCTGGCAGTATGGCTCCTATTTGAAGACCAATCTCTTAACCCCTCTGGGCTGTACCTGTTTTCTCAGTTCAGAGAGCACTCCCACCTCAACCCCAGCCCACACAGCCCTCACTGACTGCTTGCAGGTATTAGAAGCCTGGCATCTGCCTTTTGAAACAAAAGCCAGTGAGATATTCAAATAGTTTTGACCAAATGTGAAAAATATAAAGAGTTTGACTAATATAGAGAAAACCTGGAGGGGTCAGTTGGTGAGGAGTCACCCAAATGAAGAGACAGGCAGGAAAGAACAGAGAATATGGGCTGGAAGCCAGAAGACCAGAGCAGCTCAACTGCCTGCCTCTTGAGCTGAGATTTGCTGCCTGTAGTTTTTGGGATAATTCAGCTGAACTGACCACAGCCGAACTGATGGCTGCTGCGACTCCAAGCAGAGCACCAGAGAGCAGAAATGACAAGCCACCAGGTGACCCTACTGCAAGTAAGCAAGGGCCCAGTGAGCCAGGAGTAGCCTGAAGGGATTCAGGATCAGCCTACAGCTCCCTGCATGCAGTATTGGGAAGTCTCCAGGTCTCTCTGCCTGTCAGAGTTCTGGACTGAGTTCAACCGCCTGAAGTGGTCACCAGCCTCCATGCAGCTTGCTAATTTTTCCTCCTTTGTGAAGCCAGCCACCAGCCCTCCCCCACAGGGCTCCCCTGTGCTTCTAAATTCCATCTCAGAATTTAGAAGATCATACTGTACTTTTCTGTTCATGCTGGGTCCACATCTAGGTCATCTCCATATTCCCAGTTTCTAGCACAGTGCTTGGTACATACTAGGTACAAAGAAATATTTGATGAATGTTGAACAAATGATTCAATCCTTGATATTAAGATATTCATGAAACTCTGGAAATTCTACACCGATCTGATCAAACAAGCTCTATATTCAAACCTAGTAAACATTTATTGAGCACCTATTATATACCAGGCCGAGTGCTATAGGCTTTCACATGTGTCGACAGCCACAAACATGTGTATCAACTTGTCTATAGAAGCTCGATATTAAAATAAAAGGAAGTAAATCTTGCAGCCAAATAGACATGCTTTAGAATTCCCCATCCACCCCGGCACTTAGAAGGAATCTGATGGTTGTCTTAAAGCTGTGGTTCTCAACGTGTGGTTGTAGTAGCTGCAGCAGCATCTGGACACTCAGACCCCGGCCCTAGATATTTTGAATTGGAAATTTTGTCTTAACAGCAAAGAGGTTTGACTGCTCAAAAAGATGTAGTATATTTTTGTTCCTCCAGAGTCTGGCTCGGTGGTTATTAAATTTTAGCTTGCATAAGAATTATTGTTCAGAGTTATAGACATAATGCCTTGAGTACTGAAATTTAAACCTTATTCAAGGATAATTTTGACTACACACAATTTCCTTCTTGCACAATAACGTTAGAATATCCCCACTCATGCGTTGGACAGAAGGAAAATTCATCGTAATGGAGAGTGATGGGGCTCAAAAGCACAAAATAATCATAGAAAATCAGTAAGAAAAAAATGAAATCGAACCACAGATTTCTCTGCTGACCCCCTAAATGTGAGCCTTCCAATAAATATTAAGACATTAAGAGGTTAGTAAAAGCAAAAGAGAGAGAGAGAGAGAGAAAGAGAGAGAAAGAGAGAAAGAGAGAGAGAGAGAAAGAGAGAGAGAGAAAAAGAAAGAAAGAAAGAAAGAAAGAAAGAAAGAAAGAAAGAAAGAAAGAAAGAAAGAAAGAAAGAAAGAAAGAAAGAAAGAAAGAAAGAAAGAAAGAAAGAGAGAGAGGGAAAAAGGGAGAGAGTGTGAAGAGAGAGAGAGAGAGAGAGAGAAAGAGAGAAAGAGAGGGAAAGAAAGTTCGCAAACAATACAAGTTTCCCAGTGCTGGCAGCGGACCTACCTACCCATCCCTTCTCCAAAACTGGTCTGGCTTTTCCTGCCCGTGTTTCATACATTCCCAGGCCGGCTCCCCCTCCCGTCCCCGCACACGTCAGGAAACGGCCCACGGACCCAGTTAATAATTCCGAGGCCAGTCTCTCTTGACAGATGGCGGGGGCTCCAAGAGA